TCTTTAAAAAAAAAAAAAAACAGACATGGGGTAACGGTTACGTCGCTGGACTCCCACATAGTCAACTGTGGCTTTAAACTGACTTAGCAGCTTAAAACTCATACTGGGTGTGTGTGGTTGCGTGCCCAAAATCCCAAGAGGAAAATGGAGAAGGGATTGCAGCGTGGTCATACCCCAGGGGATGATTTTTGCTTTCTGTCTCCTCTGTCTCTCCAGGAAGCGTATGCACCCTTATAGCAAAAATCTCCTCCCCCCACCCCCCAAAAAAGGAATAACTAGGCATAGGGGACAGCAGATGTCATGGTGGTTAAGGTGCAGGACTCTAGGACTCCCACATGGCTGACCATGGTTCGAATCCTGGACCTGGTGGCTTACTTTCTCTTTCTCTCTTTCTCTCTCTATCTCTGTCTCTCTCTGGTAAGTGTGCATGTCCTGTAGCAAATTTTAAAATAATAATGATGAAGGGGGCCAGCAGATGGCATGGTGGTCGGGGGTGCTGGATTCCCACATGGCTGACTCTGGTTTGAGTTCTAGACCTGGCAACTGGCTTTCTCATTTCCCTTTTCTCTCTGTCTCTGTCTCTGTCTGGTCAAATTAAAAAATAATAACAAATGGAATTAAATAAATACATAGATAATTCTTTAAAAATGATGATGATGAAAAAATAATGATAAATTATTCTTAAAAAGATGTAAATTTTCCTAACTTCAGATTAGGCATTGGTTCCTTAGGACACCAATATGGTAAGTGACTGGTAAAAAAAAGGTGAATTGAACTTCATCGACATTCAGCACTGGTGGGACCAGAGGGCAACACAACTGGACCACACAGGAAGGTCCCTGATTTGTGTCCTGCATGCCGGGCATGCATGCATGTTCTCACGATCCAGCCTGACTGAGGCTGGGGATGGGTTGCTACATGAAGACCCTGTTGGGAGGTTTGCTCTCTCTCTCTGTATCTGAAAATTAATAAACTTAAAAAAAAAAAAAGAAGAAAAGAAAGAAAAAAGGAAGAAAGAAATGGTAATAGGATTTGCTTTGGTTTGAAAATAGTTTGTCCCCCAAGAGGGTCATGTGCCTAAGTTTGGTCCCCAGCGTAATGGTGTGAACAGTGGTGAGACCTTGAGGAGGCGGGGCCTAGGGGTTGGCATTCAAGTCCTGGGAACACTGCAGAGATTAACGCTGCCTCATGGGTCAGAGTGAGTGCTCACTCCTACAGGAATGGGTTAGTTTCTGCAAGAGAGAGTGGTTATAAAAGTAAGTTGTGAGTTGGCATGTGCTATGGTAGTTAAGGTGCTGGACTCCCACATGGTCAACTGCAGTTCGAGTCCCGGACCTGGTGGCTTGCTTTCTCACTTATCTTTTCTCTCTCTGGTCATATATATATATATATATTTTATTTAAATTTATTTATTTACATTCATTCACTGTACATCATTACAGCATACAAAATGAGATCTTCCATCCAGAGTACACTGTATATTGGCTCAATCAAGCACATCAGCATACATGTTATCGCCAACAAATAATTTTCCATTTCTCGTTTCCTATGTGTTTTGCTTTTTTTTTTTTCCCTCGTCCTTAATTCCTTATCTCTGGTCATATTTTAAGATAAATAAATAAATAAACAATAACAAATGGAATTAAATAAATTAATCTTTTTTTTTTTTTTTTTAAAGCAAGTTGCAGTTAAATGCTGAACAGAGGAAACGGGATTTTCCACAGCTGACCAGGGTTCATTGCCAACCTCGGCAGCTTACATAAACACACCAGGTGTAGGTGTCCAGGATCCTGATGGGATCTTACTCTCATGAGAGAAAGAAACAAACTTCTTTTAAAAACGTATAAATTTGGGGACCAGTAGGCAGCAGGGTGGTTGGGACGCTGAACTCCACATGGGCGACTACAGTTTGAGTCCCAGACTCTGGGGCTTGAAACTCACTCCAGGTGCGTGTGCTCAAGGTCCTGAAGAAAATGGAGAAGGGACTGCAGCACAGCCA